CTTTGAAGAAGAAAAATGTATCTACCTCAGCGTCTTTGTCTACATCTGCAGATTGGCAACTAGAACAAGGAGGCCAACATAAATCTTTGCAGAATGTAGAAACTTCACCACTTGAAGATAAATCAGCATGCAAATATTTAAATGAAGGGGGATCTGGAAATGCCATTCTGGTATAAAAAAGAAGGGTTTGGTAGCAGGATATTCAGAGGCTGGGGGAGTGGAAGGTGGAAGGCAGTCATACTTGCCATGGCCAGGTTCTCTACTACTGCTGCAGCTGGGGGCCAGGCTCGCTGTATGCCAGCTGTACACTAGCTGCAATAGCCCTGCAGCATGTGTCCTCAGGAGCTGCCAGTATGGTGCCCTTTCTAAATCAGAAGCTGGGGCTGGGCTCCCCATTTATCTGCCCCTATATTCTACTGAATACATTCTTAGAGACCTTGAATTTCATTCTCTGGAAGCGCAAGACCCAGGTTTTGTAATTTTGAGGACAAGACCCTCCTATTTGTCACAGCTTTTTCTGGGAAGACCAACTCTACAGCTGATGGACTATGTAGGGCCTAGAGTTGGTAACTGTCATTTAGCCCTAGGTAGGTTATAGATTGTTTATTTTGTATAAGACCTTTTGGATTCTTAATATTTTACCGAAAGTGTTATAAACATGTTGGTTCTGCGTATGACTGTAAACTGCATCCGATGGGAGAGCTTGGTGGCAATGTGGAAGGGCTATTCATGGTGGGGTAGCTCTTATAAAATACCACAATGTTGCAACCTCCAGAGTACAGTAAGTATAGGGTGCCTCAAAACCCTAGCCCTCCTACCTCGTGGGTCTCCTTGGTTGAAGAAAGGCTAAGGGACATCACCCTGGCAGGAACACACCCTTGCTGAGGTGTTAGACAGTCAGCAGCAGTCTTGTCCTTTGCTCTCTGGCAGAAACTACAACTATCAAGGTACTGAGGGCATTTTTCCATGTGCTCCAGGGGTGGTGGTGGGGGTGGGGAGCACTTTAATTAGAGGAGCTCCAAGAGCCACCCTAATTGAAGCGACTGCAGTGTATCAGTGTCCCTGTGCTTTAAAATGGCAGTGGGGGCACATTAACCAAAGCTTGTCAAATGAGCTTTAGTTAAAGTGCCGCCACCACCATTCTGAAGTGTGGGGATGCTGATACACAAGATGCAGAGGCTGGGTGGAGCATGCTAATTTGCACCATCTAGCAGACTCGATTTATCTAATCTCCGCTGACATTTTGTAATTACAACACATTGGAGCAGTCTCTTCGCACATCTACAGACACCCTGAAAGTCTGGACTCGAATTCTTGGAGCCTTCAGATTCTGTCTCAGTGGTCTAAAGGGCGGGGGAGATGTGAAGGCTTGGGCACCTTCCACTCCTCCATACTCTTGCCTAGGTGTACACATCAAAGGTACACCAGGTTACTAGACCTCTTACGTGTACACCATGATCTAGAGGATTAACAGCGGCACATTATATATACATTGCGCAATATACCATAAAGTTGGGATAGGCAATGTGGACATAGCTAAGTAAATAAATGCTTGGTTATCTATGACTTTTCCTATACAGCATACTTTTATTTTGTGAAAATAAAAGAACATCATGAAATGCCATGAATTTACTTATTGTACCTTACGTTACTTACTCTTTTATCTGCAAATAAAAGAAAGACCCATCTGAATCCAGAACAAGAAACAGAACAGTATCATTTATGGAGTTTGTATGTTTGCCTTACAAACTGTTCATTTGAATAGCATGGGGTATGTTTTCCAAAATTTTATTGTGAGTTCTATGTTATTAATTCTAACAGAGTATTGAAAGTTCCATTGCCTATATTTTTGTGCTTCATGTTGAAATAGTATTGCAGTTTTATTTTCATACAAGCTCCATTTTTTCCTAAAATTTTTCATTAAAAGACAACGCTCCTGAAACACATCAATGTAAAGTGTCAGCCATATGGATACAATAGGGCTTTGCACCTCCAATTCATTTTAACAGAAGCTGCATGGGTGATATTTGGCAAATATGCAATATGCTGCAATTTTACATCTTGAGCTTACTGATTCATGCTTCTAAATGTTCTCTTTAGCCATGCATGAGGAATCTCCCTTGCATGTTTTCAGGATTACACAAATCAAAAGGAGCTTAATCAGCAAAAAGTGTCATGTGTCAGCCCACAAAATAATTATGGGGGTGGGGAAAAGCTGATACTAAAGGGAAAATAAGGGTACACTCTTTGGTAGGTCTTTACTTTTTCATTCAGGTGCTCTGATAGATCTACTAGTATGTTTCCTTTGCTTCACTCTCCATGAATTATTGATGGATATAAAAGACAGTTTTATTGCTATTATTATTATTATTATTCTTAAAAGGAGAAATAAATCAATATAAATGTATACGATTCTTAGCTAGATAATTAGTAAAGATTCTAGAGACATTTAATACTCAATTCCATACTTTTGGTGTTTTATTCAGCTAATTATTTCTTCTTTTACCTATTCTGATCTTCCTCTTTCATAGCACCATTTGTATAGATACATTTGCTGGAGAATAGAAAAACGGTATGTCATAGGAACTTAACCGATTAGACCATAATCCATGTCATCCAATGACAAACCTATGGGTTGTTTTTTTTTTAAATATTATTCTTAAAGGGATACTATTAACTTAAAAAAAATACACTTCTCCTTCAATGTTTTATCTATTGTTGCTAAATGCAAACCTTAAAATTATGATGACCAAAACAGATTAGAGAGAAATCATTTGCCTCCTCACACAGTGGCAGCAGAAAATTTGAAAAATATTTCTGAAATAAGAACATTTCACTGTAAGCCACCAACATTTTCACTGTAAACCACAGAGATTTGTTGTCTTAACTAGCAGGGTTCGGATTTCAGACTATTTTTAATTTTTTTAATGGCCTAGATTTCAAATTGACTGTGTCCCTTTAATGCTACTATCCTCTCAGCCTCTGCATTATTTCCAATATATCACAATGATGGAAAGTTATTTTTAACAGCTGCACAAGACCTGTTACATTAACAAACATTTTAAAACTTTTAAAAAATATATTTAAATCTGAGTTGGGCTACATATTTTGTATTTGGAACATGACAATTGACATAGGTTTGCATTTTGATATAAATGATATTTTCAGAATTTAAACTAATCAAAAGCAAAAGCAAAATGTTTTGACTTATTGACTACTCCGTGTACATTAGGTAGTGGTATATCTTTTTTCCTCTTCTATTTATTTACTGGAAAATTTGGCTGCTGAAATGATGCAAACTACAGCATAGTTGTCTCAATGTGATGTTTACATTTAACAACTTTTGTGTTGTTATTTGACAAATCAAATGGTTTAATTCAAGACGGTGAACTTTTTATTTTTATGCCTAACTGATAGAAATACTGTACATATAATGAGAACCAAAATTTTGCTTGACCCACCATTTTGGTGCTGTACTATTATTTTATATGTATTTGAATCATTTGGACCCATTGAAGTCCATGCATATTTTTGCCATATAACATGGTCTGTCTATTGTCTGATCATTAAAACTGGTGGCAGTAAGGAAACACAAATAATATCTGATTTAATTAAAATATTCGTTCACCACCTGTCTCTTTTGGGCCCACAGAACCTGAAAGGAGGCCTTGTATTTTAAATTAAGTAACCTGATATCTGCTTGAACTTTAAATTGGGAAAATTCGAGTCACACTATGTGATTTCTGAGCATAAAAATCACATAAGGCATCAGGTAGGCAGAGAGATTACTAGCAACTATACACTTCACAATTTGAAAATATTAACATAAAATATTTTTACTCAGTTGTATAGTGATAAACCAACATTTGGCCTGATTACTTAAGTCATTCATGCTAAATTAAGCAGTATGATAACATTTTTATAAATAAAAGGAATTTCCACACATATGTTCATAGTAAGTACAAATTAGATCAACAGCTGCTGAAGAACTGCCACCTTTTCCTTGAGTTGTTCACATTTTATCTTTTGGGTTTTATTTATTAAGAAACTCTTTTTTCTCAGAAGAGCTTGATTTTTCCTATCTACCAACACAAATTAAGTTAGGAAAATTCCCTCTTGCAAGTTTGATTTAGTTTGGGGTTTCCAATGCATGTGAAGTAAGAGTGATTTAAAACAACATTAAGTAATATTGTTGATACAGACAAAGTCTTTTGTTTTATTATAACGTTTTCAGTCTTATAAAGTAAGACTGAAATGTGACACTTTGATTGTCAAAGAAACATTTCAGGAATTTATTCTGTGCCTCAAATTCTTTTGAGAATTAGATATTTTGCTCATTATAGTTACTGTTTCAGGTCAGGGGTCATTGATGATTATTTTGTTACCTTTAACCTCATTTGACAGCAGCTTCAATACAATGCAAAATAAAAGTAAGCAAGGTAATACGCTATCCAAGCCTTCAATCAATGCCATAAACATAATGAACAGAAAAAAATTCTGTTAAAAGCATTTAATGTGGATAGGCTACATATTTTCAGCATGACTATTCTGTTTACTGGAAAGTGGCTTCATGAAAACATCTAGCATCACAATTGTATTTGATATACTGTTCTGTTTTTACATATAATAATTGGTCACATTTACGTAAGTTTACAAGACAAAAGCAGTATTAAACACATATAGCACTTCAACAATGAAAAATATGTTTTACAAAATGAAACGATTCATTAGCATCCTCTTTTTTAAAAAAGACCTGGGTGTCTTTCACACAGTACATGCTGATTTTCTGTAAAATGCTTTTCACGCTCAGCAAAGGAATATCTATATCTTTCCACATATTTTTGCCATTCTACAATACATCACAGTGGACTATTTTAAGACATGTTTCCACTAGACTGTTTTGACACCAGGGCTGCAGCTAGCAGATAAGCTTTTACATTAGCAGTCCCCAGATACTGAGCTCCCGTAAAAAGTAAGAGATACAAGCAGTACTTACAGCACTTCCAGGTCGCGAAGAGCCCTAAATGCCCCATCTTCAATACAGCTGATCTGGTTGTAATCCAGTTGCCTGTTAAACAGATTAGGAGGGTATATGTAAAAGAGATGAACGCTGGCAGTGTTATGTGTAAGAAAGCCTCCTTAAAGGTCTATATAGCTAGGCCACACTAACTGAAATGCGCTCACAAATACACTCATCTGCTTAAGAATGTCACACGCCATTCTGGCCTTGATGCTGCCACTGAAATCTCTTTTTGTTCTGAACTGTCTGCGCAAAACAGCAGCTCTGGGAAAGCTCCAGTAAATAATAACTGCACCTTATATTAAATGCCAAAGGAATGCAATTTCATTACATCAAGAAAAGCTATCCATTAAAAGCTCTCAGCGTCATCTCGCTGAAACAATTTCATTAAGGTAAAGGACTGTAAATCACTTAATGTCACATGCATCCCCTCAGTGACCTAACAGAATCCATTTATCAGAGAAGCCCAGCTGCATGTTAATTTCACTATCCTTGGCAAGTAAAAGGAAGAGA